AGGTTTATCCATGTTGTAGCATGGTCAGAAATTCCTTCCTGTTTAAGGCTGAATGATATTGCATTGTATGTATGGACCATTTTTGTGTATCCATTTTTCTGGCCATAGACATTTGGTTTCCTTCACCTTTTGGCTTTATGTAGCTTTTTGGAAGGGGAAAATTTTGGCTCTGAAAAGGAGCGAAAAATAACTCCGGTTCAGTTGCTAGGATTACTAACACGAGAGTGGGAGTGGGCAGGATCATGCATAGATTAAGAATATATTTTGGGGGCACCTGGATGGCTCAGTTGGTTAAGCCACTGACTTTAGCTCAGGTCATGATCTCGCGGTTTGTGAGTTTGAGCCCCACGTCGGGCTCTGTGCTGACAGATTGGAGCCTGGAGCCTGCTTCGGATTCTGTGTCTCCCTCTGTCTCTGCCCCTCCCCTGCTCACACTCTGTCCTGTCTCTGTCTCTGTCTCTCTCTCAAAAATAAATAAACATTTTAAAAAATTAAAAAAAAAAGAATATATTATGTATCGGGGCGCCTAGGTGGCTCAGTCACTTAAGCATCGGACTCTTGGTTTTGGCTCAGGTCATGATCTCAATGTTTGTGAGTTTGAGGGCAGAGACTGCTTGGGATTTTCTCTCTCCCTGTCTCACTGTCTCTCCCCTGCTCGTGCACCCTCTCTCTCTCAAGAAAGAAGGAAAGAAAGAGAGAAAAAATAATATGTATGAGACAGAATTTACCCAGTAGCAAATTAGAGAAGGAGATGATGTAAATTGGCAAAGTGTTTTTGTTTCTGAGAAACCTATTGTACTTATTATTGGTGTCTTGCTGCCTATGTTGGGAGCATTTTATGCGTTTTAAGACTTTTATCAGTTGCTTTTCTCTAAAGCTTTGCTGGCACTTGGTTCTTAAAAAAATTTTTTTTTAATGTTTATTTTTTATTTTTTTTATTTTTTCAACTTTTTAGATTTTATTTTTGGGACAGAGAGAGACAGAGCATGAACGGGGGAGGGGCAGAGAGAGAGGGAGACACAGAATCGGAAACAGGCTCCAGGCTCTGAGCCATCAGCCCAGAGCCCGACGCGGGGCTCGAACCCACGGACCGCGAGATCGTGACCTGGCTGAAGTCGGATGCTTAACCGACTGCACCACCCAGGCGCCCCTAATGTTTATTATTGAGAGAGAGACAGACAGAGCATGAGTGGGGGATGGGCAGAGTGACAGGGGGTACCCAGAATCAGGCTCCAGGCTCTGAACTGTCAGCACAGAGCCCGACATGGGGCTCGGACCCAAGAGCCACAAGATCATGACCTGAGCCGAAGTTGGACGCTCAACAGACTGAGCCACCCAGGCGCCTAACTTCTTAAGGGAACCTTAACCTTATGTGCACTTAATCTCTGTTGCATTTGATTTTTTTAATGTTTATGTTATTTTTGAGAGAGCGAGAGCAAGCATGAGCTGGGGAGGGGCAGAGAGACAGGAGACAGAGGATCCAAAGCAGGCTCTGCACTGACAGCACAGAGCCCAATGTGGGGCCCGAACACATGAACCACAAAACCATGACCTCAAGTCAAGTCAGATGCTTAACCGACTGAGCCACCCAGGTGCTCCTGTGTTGCATTCGATTTTGTCTCCAGAAAGACTAGGATTGAAAGGAAGACTGTTGTTTTGTGGAGGATTTCCCCTGTGGCCAAGATCATGCCATGGTGTGTGTGCGCTTGATGAATCCATCTGGAGAACCGCTCTTCAGAACATGGTGTCTCTACCCCTCAGTCTTTTCACTCCACACCTAGATACCCTCCACATTCAGCAGCAGCTAGCATCTTGCCTTGTCATTGACTGTCCTCCTACAGCACTTTCAGTGACAGTGTGGATCAGTGGTTCCTAGCCCGGAACGCACAGGGAGGAGGCACTTTGTAAAAACCCATATGCCCAGGCACTCTCCTGAGAGTAACCAAATCAGAATCCCTGGGGCGGGGCCCCAGAATGAGCATTCTTGGTTTGATTTTGTTTTTAAGGTGTTTTCTTTCTTTCTTTCTTTCTTTCTTTCTTTCTTTCTTTCTTTCTTTCAAGATTTTATGTTAAGTAATCTCTACACCCAGTGTGGGGCTGGAACTCACAACCCAGAGATCAAGAGTCCTATGCTCCACTGACTGAGTCAGCCTGTGCCCTGTAAGGTTTCAAATAGAATTGGACTGCTAAGATTCTGAGCTGATTCTCAACATATAGTTTTAAAGGAAATTTTAATTTTTTTCATGGATATGGCAAAGGATTAGTTTTGTTAATTCGTTCTTGACAGATTTGTAAGCCATTGGGAAAGAATTTGAATGCAAAAAACAGTATTTCCAAAGTTCTGAAACCATATTTCATCATATCCCCTGTATATATATTTCTCATTCATTAAACAAATATTTATTGATTACCTGCTTATGTGCTAGACACTGGTTATAAGAATTGAAGGGACAAGTCCCCATCATGTCCATCATCTTCCTGCTTGGATTTCCTAGTCTAGAGATAACAATAGCAATCACATGATTTATTTACAACAGCCCTATGAAATAGGACTATTGTAATTCCCATTTTACAGATGAGGAAGCTGGGGCAGAGAGGTGAAATAATTTACCCAAGCCACATATGCATTAAATGGCGTAGGGGACTGGTGCAGTCTCTGTTACAACTATTCCACACTGCCATTCTAGAGGGAGAGCAAGCCTAGACAATACATAAATGAAGGGGCGTGGCTTTCCCAATAAAACTTTATTTATAAAAGCATATATATAAATATATATAATTCCTCATATTGTAATGTGGAGATTTTTGCCATTTTCCTTACCATCTGTCAATATTGGCAGGCTCTGTTATTGGATTTCTAGGTCATCTGTTGTAATGGAGAAAGCAGAGAGGAAATTTTGGCCCACAGGAGGAAAAGATCGATCACAAAGTCAAAGGTCATAAGAGAATCAGGATCCTTTCAAAGTTAGGTCCAGTAACTTCACAATGATACATACGCTTCTTCTTCTTTTTTTCTCCCCAACTGGGCATTATTGTGCTATTAGTTTCCATTTTTCCTTTCATTTTTATGAACCGATAGTTTGAGTACAAAGGCTCTGTCGTGAACGAGCCCCCTCTCGGTGGCATGTTGGAGCTCTCTCAAAGTAGCTCCCTGTGCGCACCTATTTCCAACTTTTCTAAAACGCATGTGGTAAATATTCACTATCATTAACATCATCACCAAGGAGCTGCATCTATAGGGACAAAATCGCAAATAGAAGTTCAGTTGTGATAAATGATCATATCAGTCATGTGAGAATACAACTGATGCGAGCTTTATCCGAGTCAAAAATCTCAAAGGAGGCACGAGGCATTTGGTCTGTCTTGGTGGGAACACCCTGCCTGCAGCCTCGTGACGTCTTGGAGAGTCTGGTGACCCCCTGCCTGTTGAACTGAGCACTGCCGGCCATTCTGTTGTAGTTGGACGATGCGCTCCAGCACCATTGGCGGGTTTTCTCTGTGTGCGGGGGGTCTGCGTCATGATGGCTGGCGCTGAGGGGGTGGCTCTTGGCCTCACCGGCTGCTCCAGTGTTAAAACCCGCTTGGTACCAGTGCCGTCCTGCTTCTGCACATGATCCAGGGGGGCCCGCTCTTGAGAGGGGTCTGGTGACGGATGCCACTGCTATCCGCCTGACACTGCTGTCACTGGGCATCCCCCCGGTCACTGTGACCATTGCCAGATTGGTCATGCCCCACATGCTGCCCTGGGCTGCAGCACCTGCAGTGACATGGGCATGTTTTAGCAGCCCCGCACGTGATCGTGAGCCATGCACTCCTGGTTAAGAATTGTTGACTCTTGGTTTCAGCTCACGTCATGATCTCTCCGTTCATGAGTTCCAGCCCCGTGATGGGCTCCACGCTGACAGTGAGGAGCCTGTTTGTGATTCTCTCTCCCTCTCCCTGTCTCTCTGCCCCTCACCTGCTTGGGCTCTCTCTCTCTTTCAAAATAATAAATAAATAAATTAAAAAAAAATTTTTTTTTTTCAACGTTTATTTATTTTTGGGACAGAGAGAGACAGCATGAACGGGCGAGGGGCAGAGAGAGAGGGAGACACAGAATTGGAAACAGGCTCCAGGCTCTGAGCCATCAGCCCAGAGCCCGATGCAGGGCTCGAACCCACGGACCGCGAGATCGTGACCTGGCTGAAGTCGGACGCTTAACCGACTGCGCCACCCAGGTGCCCCAATAAATAAATTTTTTTAAAAACTTAAAAAAACCCCAGAATTGTTGGTATAGATGTGCTCTCATTTAATCCAGCAGTCCTCTATTCCTGACTCTGGGCTTGTTTCCAATTGTCCGCTGGTAAATAATGAAGCAGTGCACATCTTCATGGTGAACTCTCTTTGTTTCTATTTTCCGGGGTAAATTCTTACAGGTCAAATGTTAGAGTCGAAGGACAGGCTTATTTTTAAGGCAGAGTGCAAACCAATTTGGCCACTACACTGAGGTGGATGGTGTGGTGGAGAAAGCATGGACCAGGTGCGGGGGGTGGGGGGGGGGTCCTGGGTTCAAGACAGAACTGTGCTGCCAGCGGGGTGGGGCCTTGGGCAAGTCCTTCAGTTTCGTTTCCGTTCCTTTGGTTTTGTTTTGTTCTTTTGTAAAATGAGCCCTGTTATGAATCTGCACAGGAGGGATGGTGCAGATGTTACTCCCCCTCTCAGTACTGCAGGTAGGTGTATAAAAGGAGGGCACATCTCTTGGACTCCACGGTGAACTTGTCTAACAGAGACTTCCCTTTATGCGATGGTGATGGCGTACTTGAGAATTGTTTTAGGGTTTTGAAGCTATTCCTATTCTGTACTGTAAGAGAAGAAAATCTAGATTACTATCTGGAGTCCAGTTAATTCTTGGGCCTCTAACATATGGATAGAGATCAAAGAGATGTCCCCCATACATATGCTATCGATGTGATTCCAAAACTGATTACTTTGATTTTAATTTCATTCTTGTATCTTTATAGGGAAACTTTATGGTGATGTTCCTTTTATAGAAGAAAGGCACAGACATCGGTATGAGGTATGGCCCACACACTAAATTACTATGGAATGTAGATGCTTAGTTAAAGGAACTCCGGTGATTACAAGCGGACCTCTGGAAAAGGTGTCCAGCTCTGTGGTATCCATTGGGCTCAGCCCTTCTTGGCTTTTCAAAGGCAAAATCTTTAAGTATCTGCACAAGGGACATTATCAGGGTTCTATGTTACCCTAACTGTTGTCTCCTAGACTAAGGTAAGGTCATCATCTTTATCCTTAACCCCCTGCCCTTTATTTTGGAAGGTTTGGGTAAAGGGAACTTACATCTTCTGAACCGTATGTCTCTCAGGTTAGGGATGCATCTCTGGGTATCACATAATGAGTTCTTGGTTTGGGAACCTCTTTGGAAATCTACATTGAGCAAGAGCCTTAGTGTCACATGATTACTAAGAGTGACTGTTGAGATTGTCACATGAGAAGCATAGGTTCCCCAAGATGCAGACTATCTATACCAGAATTAATTGGTGTATCAATTGTGATGCTTTTGGCTGGGAAGAATCAAAATTTCTGCTTGTTATTTACTCAAACCAACCTCAACAGTAAAGAAACTAGTTATATCAGATAATAGGTAGTTCAGAGGCTGGGCAGGCTCCAGGCATGGTATAATCAGGGCTTCTACTATCCCTGGGATTCTCTTGGCCTTACCCTTTTCTGGGTGTTTACCTTGTCCTAGGCTGGTTTCCCTCATAGATGCAAGATGGCTACCAGCTGCAGCTGAGGCAACACGCATCTCTCCTAGACATGGAAGTTTTTCTTCGGTCTGATTGGATCAATACAGATCACTTGCCCACCTCTGAACTAGTAACCATTCCAAAGGCAAAGCTAAAGTAGGTTTAAACCTGAGTTCTTGGATCATTCATTAGCCAAGAGGGATAGGCTTATCATGTTGGCTTAGACCAGTCAGGACCAACTTTTAGAATGGGGGAGATGGAATCCCATGGGTCATGTGGGGGTAGAGTAGATGCCAGGACAAGTCCACGGTTCTGTTTTGAGGGAAGACCGCTGGGAGTCGATGCCGGGTAGGCTATCAACAGTGTCACTACAATTAGGGAACACTTTGCTGAGTATAGGCCATTCTTGGTCTTATTTCCATTGGGAACTGGCCTAACTGGTGGGACAAATACTATTGAGCTGCTTTGCCTAAGTGGTAGCTAGAAGGTGTGAGAATTACTGTGCACACAATACTGTGGCCATCCATTCCTCCATTCTTCTTGTGCCTCTGATATGCACTGGAGATGGGAGGGGGAAGCGCACACACACACGGTCTCTCTCCTGATAGGGAGCTTACATTCCAATGGACAGGATTAAAAAAAGATAACAGAAAATATATATCAGACAAGGTCCTTATATCTAGAATATATAAAGGATTCTTAGAACTGGATAATAAATAATGGCAAGGATTCTGATTAGATATTTCTCCAAAACAGATATACAAATGGCCAATAAGCAAATGAAAAGATGTTCAACATCATTAATCATCAGGGAAGTGCAAATCAAAACCACAAAGAAATACCACTAGGTATGGCTATAGTCAAAAAAGATGGATAATAACAAGTGGTGGTGAGGATACACTGTTGGTAGGAATGTAAAATGGTGCAGCCACTTTGGAAAATCATCAGGCAGTTCCTCAAAAAGTTAAATGCAGAGTTACCATATGACCCGGTAATTCCATCCTTAGATATATAACCCAAGAGAAATGAAAACATACATGCACGCAACTCATATACAAATGCTCAAATGCTCAGAGCAGCATTATCCATAAGAGCTAAAAAAAAAAAAAAAAAAAAAAAAGGAACAACCAATATCCACCAACTGATGAATGGATAAATAAGATGTGGTATATCCATACAATGGAATTATTTGACAATGAAAAGAAATGAAATATTGATGCATGCTACTACCTAGACGAATCTAAAAATGTTATGCTAAGGAAAGAAGCCAAGAAGCCAGTCACAAAAGACTACATACTGTATGGTTCCATTAACATGACAAATCTAAAGAGACAATATGGATCAGTGGTTGCCTAGGGCTGGTGGGGAGGTGATGAGGGTATTAGGGGATGATGGTTAGAGGGGATAAGGTATATTCTTGAATCAATTGTGGTCATAGCTGAAATCCTCTGTGAATATGTTAAAAATCATTGAATTGTACACTTTTAGTGGGTGAATTGTATGGTATGTGAATTATATGTCAATAAAGCTGTTAGAAAAAGGAAAAATAATTACAAATTATGAAAACTAAACTAATGTTAGAAAAATAACATAAAAGCCTATGGGGTTAAGATTGAGGACGATAGGTGGGACCCCACTTTGATTTTAGGTGAGCAAGTGCTTTCTGTGGAGAGGCTGAAAAGTTTCGGGAAGGACTAGGGATGAGATGAACGAGGAAAGGGGCTGTGTGCGCCAGGTCATCAACCTGTCATCTGTAACCAATATTCTAGCAGAAAAATTGCTCTAAGCTTCTCCTTAGAGTTTTTATGTAACTATACGTAGAGAAAGCATTGGGGTGAGTCTCAAGGGAAATAAGATAGTTTTAATCCTCAAGCAGATTTGTGATTTGAGGAGAGATACTTAATTACACATAACTCGAAGAAGCAAATATGGTGACAGCTATAAATAGCTAATCTCAAGGCTCCAAGTCAGAAATCTGCATCACAGTCCTTTTTGAATCTCGTCTTTGAGCGACAGAAGGTGGGCTTCTCAGATTTAGGGGCTGTGATTAGCCTGTTTCTCAGGTTCATCATGAGTTTAAAAATAGGCTTTGGGAGCTGGGTATAGAAATGAGCTACTAGTTAAGAGCATCACTGAAATGGATGGACATTTTCATAAGCTGATACTTCTGCCCAAAGACACTTAATTTCTTGTCTTTCCAGGTGAACCCAAGCCTGATCAGTCAGTTTGAGCAGAAGGACTTAAGTTTTGTAGGTCAGGATGTCGATGGGGAGAGGATGGAAATCATTGAACTGGCAAGTAAGTGGGCTTTTTGTTTTTAAAAATTCTCATGGTAAACTAATGTCTATTTGTTGTTATATAGGAAGATACAATTTGATGTTGTATGTGAAGATATAAGTTGAGATTTATTTTCTTTGCTGTCCTTCTTTTCCCCTCTCCTTGGAAATAAATACACAACTAAGCATAAATAATATGACTAAATATAAATTACATGAGAAAACAGACCATGTGTAGTCCTAATCATTTGGGGGCCCAGTAGTCTGAATCTACCCTAAAATGATACATTGTTCTGAGTCTACCAGTTGCACTAGCAGTATGCTTCCTTACCATCCCTGCCCCCTTTCTGGGCCTTCTCCCGTTGCTAGCCTCTAGGTTAGTTGCTCTGGGAAAGGCAGGCAGCTTGTTAATTGAGTAACACTTTGCTTTCTTCCTCCTTTGAGGAAGAATGACCCAGCGCCCTCCTCACTACTGGTGACTGGTGTTGACGTCTGTTGTGTTTGGGACGTGGGCCCCTCGTTGTACCTGGAGTCTACCTTTCTATATTGCTCTCTGTGGTCAAGTGTGGGCTAGTCATTTGACTTTTGAACACTAGTCGGTGTATCCACGAAAGTTCTTAGTAAGACCAAACAGCACAGAGGGATTAGACTTTCGTTGAGGGAGATCACTGAAGAAGTTGTTTGTGTGTGGCCTGGGACACCCTCGAGAGCATAGGCACAAACCATACACCATTAATGATGAGACAGAGGACAGTGTTCTCATTCAGAGCTGCAAAGATATGGTAAGCCCATGCTTACAGCTGATCCCTACTCTTTCTCTAAGGTTACTTACTACCTGGCCCTTTACAGAAATGTTTGCCAACCCCTGTTCGGGACTCACACGTATATACTTCATTTAACTAACTTGAAACTAACATGTTCAGTTGCCTGCTTGACCTGTTTATCTATCTGGATATTCTCCTAGGACTTCTAATTCAACTTATTTAAAATTAACTTTACATGCTTCCAAACTAGTTCTTCCTCCTGACTATTTCTGTTATCATCCATCTCCTTGTCCAGTGTTTCTCTCCCTTGCCACCATTGACATTGGGAGTGGGACATTCTTTGTGGTGGGGGCCATCCTGTGCACTCTATGATATGTGGCAGCATCCCTGCCCTGTACCCACTGGATGCCAGTAGTATCATCTTCACCTCCGAAAGTTGCAACACCCCAAACCATCTGTAGACATTGCCAAATGTCCCTGAGGGACACACTCGCCTCGATTGGGAACCACTGTCCTAGACTATCAGGCTTAAAATTGGATGCATTTAGTTTTTCTTCCCTTTTATACTCCCAACTTGTAATCAGCTATCAAGTCCTGTAGATTGCGTCTCGAGAAAGGAAGACCGAGTTTGGGATTTCATTCCCGTCCCTCCCACCCTGGGCCAAGTGCGTGGTGACTCCAACCCAGAGTGGTCCTAAAGCTTCTCCCTGCCTCCAGGCTCTTCCCTCTACAACACCTCCTACCGAGGACAGGGCTGTGACTGTGCAGTGCGTGTGACACTAATTTGTTGGATAAACCAGTCTCATTTATCAAATGGTTAGTTTGTACAGGATACTCTGAAAATGGTAACATGACATTCTAGAACCTATCGTTTCAACCTATCAACTTTAAAAAAAAATTTTTTTTATGTTTATTTCTGAGACAGAGAGAGACAGAGCGAGACAGAGCATGAGTGGGGGAGGGGCAGAGAGCGAGGGAGACACAGACTCCAAAGCAGGCTCCAGGCTCCCAGCTGTCAGCACAGAGCCTGACTCGGGGCTCGAGCTCACAAACCGTGAGATCATGACCTGAGCTGAAGTCGGTCGCTCAACCGACTGAGCTGCCCAGGCGCCCCCCAACCTATCTACTTTAGGCTACAAATATTCGGGACTACTTACTCTTCTAAATGTCCTACTTCTTTTACCATCTTAGCCCACGTCACATTCCTCTATTTCAAATTCCTTCTCTCTCTCCCTTTCCTTTTCTGTCTCTAATCTGTTCAGGTATTTCAGGAGTCCTGGGCAGGGAGGAGAATTAAAGTTGTCGAAGGCTTCTTTGAATACAGTAACATGTTACCTGGACCTCAAAGAGGGAAAGCAGTGGACACTGCATGCACACTCACTAGATGCTTCTCACTCGACCCCTTGCTAGGGACTCTGCGTGCCTTATTTAAGTGACAAGGCAGGTGATGTTATTCCCACTTTTCAGAGAAGGAGATTGGAGTGCAGAGAGGATAAATAACTTGCCCAGGCCATCCAGCTAGTCACAGGCACGGCTGGAGCCCAACCACGGCCTGTGACCACCTCTGTGGATTTTATCGTTCCTCTTGTTTTCATTGGACATTCCACTTAAGATTATCAGTCCGTGCCTGAAGTTTTGAATTAGGGTATGGAGATGCATTTCCTGTAGTCTTTCTGATGGAAATGCCTATCATTTAGAATTTTTATAGGGTGGATCACTCTTTGGGGTTGAAGTCTCTTAAATCTTTCTGGCATGTGAGAGGGCAGAGAATTTCTTAAGCAGATAACTATTTGTTTACTTCATTCAAGTACGTACTTTGTTTTAATTCTCCTGGCTCTCATTATTGTCAGCAAATTTTTAGATGCCTCTTTTATCGCCTGGATTTAGATTCCCATTGATACTTGCAAATCTCGTGCGTGTTGGAAAGGAAATGAGAGACGCTGTGAAATCCTGCAATTTTTAAAAGTTGATTGCAAAGAAATTTATCTTATTAAGGAAAATTCCCCCCAAAGATTCTGATCTTAGCTACCCCTTAGAATCATATCCATGAATCTCAACATTCCTAAAGGGGTTCTAAAAGGAAAAACAAAGCTTGAGATTAGTATAACGTCAGAATGTGATTCAAAGCAATTAAAAGCACTATTTAACAGATATTTTACCTGACTGATATAGAGCATCATGAAAATAAAAACTTTTTAGGTTCTTTCCTCATTTTGGCATATGGGATTTTTTTTTGTTTTGTTTTTTTTTTGGAGAAAGTGATTCAGAACAGTGGTCCATTCATTCAAATATTTTGTCCCTGGCTATGACAGACTCATTGCTTGGCTTCTGTGTGTAGTTGTACAAAAAGCACAATTACTGTCTGCTTCTTTCAAAGACATCCCTACATGCTGTGCTGTAAGAGTCATTGCATATTAAATTTAAAGCTACATTGCTTAGTTTCTTTTCTAAGAATGGATGGTTTCTTCTTTTCTTGAGGGAACACATTCCTGGGAGAAGGTAGCATTCTCCTCACCAAGCTTTCTTACCTGAATGTCCCTGTAATTCAAGGAGGCTTCTTCCTAGATGTGATGTAGAGGATTTCTACACTGGATTTTTCTGGACTCAGAGCTGTCCAATTAAACTTGCTGCCATGGTGGCCTATTCTGCCCTGTTCAGTATGGTAGCCACTAGCCATGTGTGGCTATTGAACATTTGAGATGTGCTCAATTAATTTGAATGAATTTAAATAGCCACATGTGGCTGGGAGCTGCCATGTTGTATAGCAAAGCTTTAAATGATAACCTTACAAGAGTGGGCATTTCTGTTCCATCATCATTCCTCACTGTTGTAACTTTGGGTCTCCGGTGGTAAGTGATGGAGATTTGTGATTTTGAATTCCATACTAGATTTTTATTTATTTTTTATTAAAATTTTTTTTAATGTTTGTTTATTGATTGAGAGAGAGAGAGAGAGAGAGAGAGAGAGAGGCAGAGAGGCAGAGAGAAAGGGAGTCACAGAATCTAAAGCAGGCTCCAGGCTCCAAGCTGTCAGTGCAGAGCCCGATGCAGGGCTCAAACTCACGAACTGTGAGATCATGACCTGAGCCGACTGAGCCACCCAGGTGCTCCTAATGTTTATTTATTTTTGAGTGAGAACGCGACAGAGCATGAGCAGGGGAAAGTCACAGAGAGAGGGAGACACAGAATCCCAAGCAGGGTCCAGGCTCTGAGCTGTCAGCGCATAGCCTGATGTGGGGCTCAAACTCATGGACCATGAGATCACGACCTGAGCTGAAGTCGGACGCTTAACTGACTGAGCCACCCAGGCATCCCAGATTTCCATACTAGAATTTTAGTTCATTTGATAAAGCATCTTGTTGGAAGCTTTAAAGTTATATTTACTTCCCCCTATAAAACTTATATTCTGGCATCTTCGGTTTGATATATATAGCAATTAAAATAATTAAAAATTATTTTTAATGTTTATTTATTTTGTTTTGAGAGAGAGAGAGTGCGAGCAGGGGACGTGCAGAGAGGGAGGCACATAATCTGAAGCAGGCTCCAGGCTCCAAGCTGTCAGCACAGAGCCTGATGTGCGGCTTGAACTCAAGTGCTGTGAGATCATGACCTGAGCCAAAGTCAGGTGCTCAACTGACTGAGCCACCCAGTTGCCCAAGTTAAAATAATTTTTAAAGTAGGGAATATAGCACTGACCATGTTCTGTACTCTAGTGATTATGGGATAAGAGGGTTGCTGGATTTCTAGAGAGTTGCTTGATTAGGAACTGCTTCCTAATCCGGGGAAAAAACATAGTTTTTGAGAATTCTGATAGGGGAAGGAATTTGCAATTCTGTACAATTTCTACCGAGATTTGGAAATTTTGCCCATTTAATTTTTTCCATTCTAAAACAAGATTCGTGTATTTAAAAGTAGCTGGTAAAGCTACTTTTCTCTTCCTATTACATCTAAGAGAACTTGAATTGTTCGTGTAGGAGATTTGACAACCCTTGATATGAAAATCGCTTAACTTCCCCTCCACCCCCCCCCAATGATGTAAGGAACATATGCTCATGGAAAAGTTTCACATGATAGGGAAAAGTATAAGGAAGAAAAGAAAAATATCTTGACCTCTTACCACCTTGAGCCGTTACCACCATTAACACGTTGAAAGGCCATCCTTTTATCACTCTGAGTCTCATAGTCACAGGAGATAAGTTGGCATAGGCTAAAGTAGGAGTGTCAGTTCAGTTTCATGGTGCCATCTCTGATTAATACCCGCAAGTACTTGCTGCATTCCCTCCCCGCTTCCCCCCACTCTTCCCTTGGGAACGGTAAAGACCTTGTAGGAAATGGCCTGAAGCCAGCTAAGAGACAGAATGACCTACAATTAGCCTAGAGCGAGAGGGATTCCATTGAAATGGAGCCAAGGTAAGTCTATGAAGTGCCTTCAAAAAGCAAGCGGACTTTGGGCAAGCAGGATTCATCATTCAAAAGTTTGGTTTGATTTTGCTCATGCTAGCACCTTGCACAGATAAAATGCCAGATCTCTTATTAAGTGAGATGTGTTTTGCCGTGTGAAATTCTGCTGTGAAGATGACTCATGAAAGTCACTGGCAATGATAGCAGGTTAATTGTCTCACTGTTTAATGTGTTTTCTTGTGAAAAGATAAGAGCTTGAAAGCAGCTCTCGTGTTTTTCTGCTTCAATTGCATCATGATTATTCTCATTTCAGATCACCCCTATTTTGTTGGTGTCCAATTCCATCCTGAGTTTTCTTCTAGGCCGATGAAGCCTTCCCCTCCATACCTGGGACTATTACTTGCGGCAACTGGGAACCTGCATACCTACCTGCAAGAGGGCTGCAAACTGTCTCCTAGGTAACCAACTTACTACTCCTAGCCCCATCCCAAGCTGTGCTTACCAATGTCTTGGGCTTCTTCGTCTTTTTTTTTTTTTTTTTTTTAGGTTTCTCATGAAATTTAATATCATTACAGGATTTTTTAAAAAGTGACGAGTAATTTTTTCTTTCTTAACGATCATAATTTTTTTCTCTGAATGAAAATGATTGCTTCACATCTACAATGGTAGCATGTCAGCTTTCCAAATCATGCTGATGCTGGGTATTATTTTAGAAATTTGTGTCATTTTGATAAGTGAAAAATGGGATTTTCTTGTGTTGACTCTTTGATTAATGAATACATAAACATGTTTTGTGTTTATTTGCTTTTTTAGGAATAGCCTGTTCATATCCTCTGCTCTATTTTTTCCTTTTGCTATTATATCCTTTTTCTTACTGATTGGTAAACTCATTATATATAAAGGACATTAATCCTTTCTTAGGTTGCAAATATTTTTTCAAAGTGGGTTTGTTTGACTTTTAAATTGTTAATGGTAGTTTTCATTTTCCCTAGAGAGTTTTCAGTTAGGACTTTTTATAGTCTTTATTTGTGTGTGTGTGTTTTTTTTTAAGATCCTATTTTTCGGGGTGCCTGGGTGGCTCAGTTGGTTAAGCGTCTGACTCTTGATTTTTGGTCAGATCATGATGTCATGGTTCATGGGATTGAGCCTCATGTTAGGCTCTGTGCTGACAGCATGGAACCTGCTTAGAATTCTCTCTCTCTTTCTCTCTCTCTCTCTCTGTCGCTCTCTCTACCCCTCCCCTGCTCACATGCTTGTGCATGGGCTCTCTTCCTCTCTCAAAATTAAAAAAAAAAAAAAAAAAAAAGATTTTATTTTTCAGTAAGCTCTACACCCAACATAGGGCTGGAACTTATAACCTTGAGATCAAGAATCACATGCTTTACTGACTGAGCCAGCCAGGTGCCCTTACTTACATATTTTTAAAATTTATGTAATCAAATCTTTAACTTTTATGGATTCTGCCTTTAGTGTCATGCCTAAAATCTTCCTTTCCCTATCAAAAATATTATATAAATAATGGCCCATTTGTTTTCCACTGGTATTCTTATGCTTTCAATTTTATAGTTTAAATCTATAATCTATATGTACTTTATTATTGGTGTATTACTTAAGGTAGTATCTGCACCCCACCCCCATGGTTAGTAAGCTGAGTAGTTCAGATTTGTTGCAGGGATTTCTGTTTTGTTCCACTGATGATTTCATCTCTTATTTCTGAACCCTTACCACCCTCTTCATTATCATAGCATTATTGTAAATCAAGCCCTTATCTACCCTACACCCGTTATTCTTTAACATTTTAAAAAATATATTTTGCCATTCTTCCAGATGAATTATACAATGATTTTGAAAATGAGGTTCAAATAAAAAAAAATACCTTAGGGATTTTCATGAAAATTTCTTTACATGTAAATATTAGTTTGGGGAGAATTCATATCTTTACTCCTTCTCATGCAAGAATATTGGATACAGTAACTTTATGGAGCTGGCCAGAATCAGAGAGCGGTTAGGTAGAGTTAGTGCCACAGTAGCTGGATATGTGTTGTTTAGAAGATTACTGTCACTGACCCTCATCGTGGCAAATAACCCTCGTGATGCTGCAGTTTAGAGTGCCAGGATCAGTGTCCGATGGGTGCGTGTGTGCCCGTGTTACCCAAGCCTGCTTCTTTGGGACATCACCTACTAGGAGAAGCTCACGGCTCTCTATCATTTCTTTTACTCACATTTTGAAATGGGAACAGCTTTACGTATTTCCATGTTGGGTGTCTTACTGACTTAATGATCATTCCTCATACTCTGGAGCCGGCGCACTGGTTTTCAAACTGTGCCCTGTGGAGCTGGATCTGGGCTGCTTCGAGGAGCAGGCTGAGGGGGCAGAAGCTTCCCTGCTCCAGCTGAGCATCTGCACTTGATCAGGCTCATGTGATATGGTTCCGTGTGAGATCGTGTGTGGAGAGAGCGTCCTGTGTTCTGACACCACAGATGTCAGATTGGAAATGCCAGTGTGGTCCCATGTCACATGTGCGCTGTGACCCTTCTCAGCCACTTTATAGTCTCCATTATTTCAGGTGTCCACATGTAAAAGGAGAGTGACAGTGGAGGAAGTTACATGGCTGAGAGAAATAATTCACGCAAAACTGGTTGTTTGCAAGCAGTGGCTAGAAATAAATGCTACCTAATTTGTGGGGACTGCCCACCTATGTGTTGGATGGCCTGCCGATTCCCACATGGGGGATGGTGGTCTCTGAGTAAAGCTTACCAGCAGTTTCTGAGAAAGACTTCTTAGTATAACTCTGATGCTGGTGTTGGAATTACAGCTGACCAGCGTGCTTCCATGGTAGTCAGACAATTCCTACATATCAGCCATAAATCGGTACGTTTCTCTCTCTCTCTTTTAGTTTATTTGTTTGTTTTGAGAGAGAGAGAGAGAGCGCGGGGTAGGGGCAGAGAAAGAGGGAGAGAGAATCTCAAGCAGCCTCCGCACTGTCAGTGCAGAGCCCAGTGTGGGACTCGAACTCACGGACTGCGAGACCATGACCTGAGCCGAAATCAAGAGTTAGTCCCTTAACCGACTGAGCCGCCCAGACTCCCCAACCAGTGCATTTCTTAAGGGCGGCGAGCATCTTATTTATCTTTACCTCCCTGGCTCCCCAGCAGACTAGGTTGTTTAGTACAACCTTGTTTGCTAAAGTAACAATTCTAGGTAGCACGGGAGGATGGATACAGTGTAGTCTAATTCTGACACCTAAGGTGGTTTTCTGACTAAGAATGGCACCAGTGAATTAACCCAGTGACAGACACCAGGATTCCAGAGGAACCTTCAACTTCAACTTCTCTCTGCCCAGCTCCATGGTGTCATGAACATTGAAAAGCAGACAGCTGCTTTGACGGCCAGGCTCTAATGTGAGTTGAGTTGGGACTGTATTTCCGTCAAACAAGATTACTGACTGTAATCAACCATAAACAACCATAACAAGGAATATGAACACTGGAATAATGACTTCCTTTCCCAGAAATTGGCTGACGGTATGTAATTACATGGCACATGTGCAGCTGACATCTTTAAAGCCCAGAATGTAAAAAAATTTTTGGCTTTGTGCTCGTACACCTGAGCTATAACCTCTGCATTCTGCCCTGTGGAGAAGAGTTCTCTTTTAGTGCCTAGGAAGTTGCAGTGAGAATATTATTTGGGGATCTAGAGCTAGTGTGCTAAGTTTTTGGCCACTCTGTTATCTGTAGAGTGGCAGCAGTTATGAGGACCAGTTCCACCTGGTTTTCAACTTGGAGTCCTTTGTTCAAGAGGCATAACAGCTGTAGGATAGTGTTTTCTCAGGTTTCTTAAATTTAAGTTTGATTTTTATTTATTTTGAGAGAGATAGAGCAGTCAGCGAAGGGGCAGAGAGAAAGGGAGACAGAATCCCAAGAAGGCTCCACACGGTCAGTTCAGAGCCCCATGTGGGACTCGAACTCACGAATTGTGAGATCATGACCTGAGCCGAAATCAAGAGTTGGAAGCTTAATCGACTGAGCCATCCAGGTGCCCCTTTTCAAGTTTTTATAAGCTACTCAAAAGTACATGCAATATCAAACTCAAAGTCTTTGTTTTAGCCCCAAGACAGCCCACAAGTTTGATGATTCACTAGAAGGAAATCTGAATACAGTTGTACTCATGGTTGAAATTCACTACAGTGACAGAGTAAGTTTGCACAGCTGGATCAGTAAGAGGAAAAGATATAAGTGGAGTCTGGAGAAATCGATTTGTAGGTTTCCTGTGCCCTCTCCCTCCCGTGAAAGGTCACACAGAGCTCACCTTCCCCCTGCAGCAATGTGTGTGGTGTTTATGCCCATTTGAGACTCAGAGTTTAGGGTTTTTATTGGGGCTGGTCACATAGGCATTCTCTACCTAGTAGCCACTCACATTCCAGACTCTCAGAAGGAAAGCAAGCATTCACCATAAATCACATTGCTTGTACGTACAGCCTGCACCAAGTGAAACTGGCATTATCAGTTAGTAACGGATAAAACATTCTGAAAGCCGAGTTCCTGAGTTCCCCGGCAAGCAGGACCCTCCTCTTTTTTTTTTTTAATGTTTATTTATTTTTGAGAGACAGAGAGAGAGAGAGAGAGAGAGAGTGGGGGAGGGGCAGAGAGCGAGAGGGAGACACAGAATCTGAAACAGGCTCCAGGCTCTGAGCTGTCAGCACAGAGCTCGATGCAGGTCTCGAATGCCACTGATCATGGCCTCAGCCGAAGTCAGACGCTGAACCGACTGAGCCACCCAGGCTAAATGTAAAGCACTTAACACAGTGTCTGGTCTATGGTGGGAAATTAAATGGGATTTTTTTTTTAAAGTAAGCTCTATGCCCAACATGGGGCTTGAGCTCACAAACCCCGAGATCAAGAGTCACACACTCTACCGACTGAGCTAGCTAGGTGCCCCTAAATGAGAATTATTAATTTTACCTTAGTTCTGCTGTCCTGCTGTCCTACTACAACGCTTCCTACCAGGTGTCTCTACCTCCAGCTTTCCTCTTTTCAGTCCATCTTCCTACATTATTTTGGAGTTTAAAACTCTCAGTGGCTTCTCGACTTCTAGAATAAAATGCACACAAATCCTTAGGGAACAGTTTGCAGTCCCTCGATCTCCCCAGAAGATTTCAATGCTTTTGCTTCAGCTCACACCACTTTTGTGGCTCTTGATATACATCCCTAAACCGCTTAGTGAGAGGTGAGTCTGTATCCTGCCAATCTGTATCCTGTTAGGATGCTAGTTGGAGGAAAATCATTGCTGACTGGTGGTGGGGGCATTGGAGGTGGGTGTGGCCTCTCCGGTGTACATTTTCTAGCACTATTTTAAACTTGGAATCGTTTTGCCTATTTTTTTTTTTTGAATTTCGGGCTGCACGGTTAGTGTGGCCAAGGGCCATTCTTACAATATATGGTGTGTAGGAGCCAAGGG